CGACGGACCTTGTGACATCAAAGACCATTCTCAACTTATCAATGGGTATTATCCAATTGTAGCATTACACAGGGCATATTTTTGCCGGCTGATAAGCTTTGTCCAAACGTTGACCTTTTTTAAATGAGGGCATTGATCAGTTTATTGACTTTTGATACCCGGAGAAGTAAAGTGCGTTCGTAAATTCTAGTGGGTGGTCAGCCTAGTAGACGAGATCGAGAGATCTAGGGGTTACGGGTTCGACTCCTGGTCATTTTCCGATTTCTACACACGACTTCCATCGGAAAGTCACTCATGTGAAAATGTGTGCCCGACTTCGTTTGGGAGGTAAAAATGCGTTGGATGGGATCCGCTATTTTAATACCGTACCCTAGACACTACCACGGCCTACGGCCTTAAACGGTTATGGATTATGATCAAGCATATCAGAGCCCATTGGCCTAGAGTCCCTGGATCTGAATGTTCTCCGACTTGCCGTACGTTTGTATGGGCCTACACTATATCGCTTCTACCGAACACTTGTAAGTCAGTATCGTCAGAACTTAATTTCCAACTTCCCCCTTTTAGATACTCCTAGCAAGTCAAGTATCAGACTGGGTCCCCTCTCCACGGTGGATTTTAAATGGACTAGCCCAGATGCGAACTAGGAGGACAGGTCATGAGGAAATATTTATGCATGCATTTCCCTATAACCTCCTTGATACACCGAAACTAGTTCAGTGGGGAAGTCTTTCTGCCACCATTCATGAACTCGTGGCTTGCGCATGAAAGAAAACCCGCTATCGCTTCTGTTGTAGTAACGTCTTTCATCACAGAGAGCAGCTGGGAGTGACAAGGGACATGGCGGACAGCACTCCGCACACACCTGGAGGGGACCAGCTGGACAGGGCGTTATTGGCGGCCTTCATACCGCTCCTGAGGGAGACTGTTATACCCAGCACCATCATCGCACATCTCATGGCACTCCTACCGCTAGGTCAGCTCACAAACTGTACACCACACATGTCTGAAATAAGTACCTTCTCTTCCCTTAACTTCTTTTATAAATATTAGGGCAAAGCCTACTAACACAGATTAACAGTTATACTTTCAATGCATAGCGAAAGAAAGGGAAGCTCACACACTACTTCCTCTTTTGCATTTTGGGTTGTAGTTGAAGCGTTTTTTGTTCCACCAAGCTACTTTTGGCAATGAAATTTAGTGATATTGCGCTTTACATGTTGGCCACCGGCGTACGACATATGGACTAGAAATTTACGTACAGTGCCACGTGTTAAGCAGGCGTTGCAGTTGACAGCTACTTTCGATGATATGGAACAGGAAATGATACCATGGTTTCATAGGGAAGTACAGTGCATGTTTCACTTTTATTTGTAGCGTTGAACATAAAACATCTTTGGGATTACTTTCTCGGTTCGAAGATTCAATACCTCCTTGAAATATGTTAGTTTTACCATCTGGGGCATTCTACCAAAACTTCCTGTCAATTTTCAGATGAGGTGGACAAAATCCTTGCAGATGAGAGAAGTAGCGGGCCAGCTGTAGCCATGCAGCGGCTTCTGGGGGTACTGCAGGAGTGTAGACAGCCCGGCTGGTTTCAGGCTCTCCTGGACGCACTGGAAAACTCTAGTGAGGAGAACTATTTCAACAGACGTCTTTTGAATTTTCAATGCCACAATAACGTGCCTCATCACCACCACAAACATACAACGCACGCACACACACACACACACACGCGCGCACGCACGCACGCACGCACGCGCACACGCGCACACGCACACGCACACGCACACGCACACGCACACACACACACACACACACACACACACACACACACACACACACACACACACACACACACACACACACATAGGTCGAGAGTCGAAAGTAAAACTTACTATTAAGTTTTCCTATCATAAGAGGCTCCCTGGATAACGTGAAGCTATTGTAAACTAGCTTTGTCATCGTTTAATTCCACCCAAGTTGCACTTGAATTTCAGGGTATGAGCACATCCGGGACATCATCAAAGGGCGGCAGTCTGCATGTGACATGGCGTTTTTCAGGCGCCTCCTAGCGGTTTGTGCACCCAACCTGCAGCGCATCGTGGCGGTGGACATGCTGCCTCATCTCTGTTGTCTTACTGATGATGATAAAGTGAGTCACTCAGTCTCTGCTACACAAACTGACACAAGAATTCAAAATGATGAAAAAGTAGGGGATTATTGGTGTTAGGCATGCTAGTGTTTTATCATATGATGTATGATGTCACTCACTCACTCCTCACCTCTAGGTTCTGGTTCGAAACGAGGCCCGTAACCATGGTAACTCCCGCGCAGTGGTGACGCTGCTGGACCGCGTGACACGCCGTGAACCCGGCTGGTTCCAACAGTTCGTCTCGGGGCTCAGGCAGACCGGCTTTGACGACATCGCAGAGCAACTGGAGGATTTAAGTTCAGGTAAGCCTGATCGGTCGGGGCTATTCTATTTTAGTCAAAATTTTTCTAGTCATTTGAAATCACATAATAATTTAATGGGTGATAATGTAATGATGTATAGTATAACTCAGAATTATAACCAGAATCAGTGTAACAAAAGAAGTTTACACAAAGAACTATGTGTTTATGATATTGAATTCTCGTAACTTTCTTTTCATTTTTAATAGAACACAACAATTTGTCCATTAGCTAGCTTATCTCCTGTGGCAAACTGCACCATACTTCAGTGTTATCTTCTTCTCAGTTCCAGAGGAGGTGTACTTCCCAGAAGAGCCGTTTGCTGAAGTGAGCGGGGTCGTTACGGGCGAGGCCGCGGTACCAACAGGTGATGGCGGCGGGTACCAGTCGTGTCCTGAACCGGGTTTTCCAGAGGAAACTGCTCCAAGGTCTCCGGAGAAATCTGCCCCGGAGCCGAGCTCTCCAGAGGAATCTGCTCCAGAACCGAGCTCTCCGGAGGACACCGCTCCGTGGAAGGTGGCGCTGAGTCAGCTGGGTTCTCAGCTCATCAGCATGTCTGGGCGGATGGGAGTCACAGTCGGACAGGTGATGACATGGGATATCACACATCATATTTATCCAATTATCTCGTTAGTTTTAGGTTTCATTTCTTATACCCTTAAGCTGCTGGAGTTTCTGACCAGTACGTGATCTCAGTGCTGAGGTTTCCAGACCCCTTTTCAATAGGGGGTACTACTTTTATTTTCTTAGTTTTTGTTTCCTTTCCTCCACAATACCCCCAATATGTTATACAACTCTATATACCTTTTAGAAATGTCATGCAGGTCTGCCTTAATGTCATTAGTAATGATTTACAAGGGCAATAATGCAATAAAACATCATTTTTTGCGACCTCATTCTATCATAGTATCTATCATAGTATCCAAAACAATGCTAATATCAAGGTTACAAAATTCCTGATAACACCAGGATTACATACATGAGAAAAGACTGTATCCATGTATTATTACAGGTGAGTTAATGATTGCAGACTGTCCCGGGTGCTGAACTGACTATTCAGCTGAAAGGCTGATCTATTTCAACTTGGTATTCTCCTTTCTGAGGATTTGTAAAAGATTCTTTCATGTCAGTTGAAGGCTTACAGCTTGGGAAATCTTTATCAACTTTGTAACATAAACTCCATGGGCAATAAACACATCAAAATAATAAAATACTAGTATACATTTTCACAATGTTTTCAATACAATACACTCTAGCACACATAAAATCACTTTTACTTAAAATATACGTTCCTGACAAATGCTGACAACATAGAGATTACTTTCATTGAAAAAAAAAAGGAATCTAGATATTATCAGCGGTGAATTTATGACTACAGACTGTCCTGGGTGCTGAACTGACCATTCACCTGAAAGGGTGATATAATACAACGACCGTATTCTCCTTTCTGGGTCCCTAAAACAAGGTACATAATACTTCTGGTCCCCGACGTCTACCTCGTTTGCAACCGTGGACCACTATCGACTCCGCGGCCGATGCCAAGTTCTTTACGATTCTTATAATCAATTTGCTGACGCTTACCATATATGATAAATACCGATACACAAAAACACCGCATGACCAGTTGAACTGAATGTTTTGTATTCCATTTCATATTCATCATCGGCCAGAGCAGGTCTGTATGTTTGGCCGTACCATTCACTACAGTACAAGAGGGGCGTTCAGCCACGGCCTGTAGTGGAGGTTCTATGGCGAGGCGCGGGACCAGGAGAGCGGCCGCACGTTCAAAGATGCAGAAGGATATTGTGCCCAATCTTCAGCAGTACGGATGGCCGCAATGGGCGTGCTGAACATACTGATGACCGAGGGAATAATAGAACCCAGAGAGATGAAAGACGAAGACTTTGACAACTTAGACTGACAGCTTGGAAATATTGCGTAAGACAGCTACAAGTACAATGGAGCCGCCCGATTTTAACACTGGTCAGGCGCGCCACGATGGTCCGACCATCCAGGGGTTTAGAGTAGCAATAGCTTCATCCACATCTTGAAGATTTTATATCGTGACTATAGCTGCATCGATCAAAAATAAACACGTCTTCTTATGATATATAAAACAATTAATGAAAGATCAATGGATCGAGATATGATCGATCAAAGTTAAGTTTCCGTACATTTTTGGTGAGAGTGTTACTCGGATGTAAGAATTAAAACTATCTTGATCACACCTCGCAAAGATTAGGTTAAACAAGTCAACCGCTTATGTTACAAACCGTACAGTTTACTGCAATATACTAGTAACGTTTTCAACCAGCATTCAGGGCCAGATACTGTTGAAAATACCAGACGCTATCTGCTTTTGTACGAGAGAGGAAGAAATTTGTCATAAACTCACTGGCTCAAAACAGTCGTGATAAAGGGTAGATTGGAGTAAAAAGATATTCACGCCTCGGTTGAAAAATCATCTTATCTTTGATTAAAAAATAGTTTGACCCTTTCTTTAAGAGCGTGCGTGTTTATTTGACCAGCGCCATCTGCACAAGTTCTCATAAAGGCAATACGATTCAATACATTCGTTCGCACCAAAGGGCGCTTTAGATACTCGTGCGTATTTGTATTTCATGTTTTTATTCAGTGGGTTGCCGGGTTATGGAATAGACCCATTGAGAGTTTGCAACCACCAAGAACTGAACTGTTTGAGCTGTTAACTCTCTGTACAGAAATGTAATCAGAGATAGCAAACCTCACCCCTTAAGCTTATCCTTAGCGCTTTGAGATGCTTCCAGGCAGGCAGTAGTGTACATGCATGGCAACGGTGCATTGGGGTTATAGGTTTCAGAAACATTTCGTTGTAACAGAATGAAATTGTCTTCTTTTGTGATTATCATACACAGCAACTGAACTATTTTACTTTTCCTAACTCGCTCCCCCCAATAACAATTCCCTGAACGCTTCATTATATTTCCCATTTTTCACCTCTAGCTGCCAACTTTCCATTAAAACACTTCCCTAAACCATCTTGGAAGCGGTTCAAGGCCGTCCGGAGTCCGGACTCATGTCCTCGTGATTCTGTAATTAGACTTCCGTAGTTCTACGTGCACCAAACAGCCTGCTGTTAGACATGGCGACTAACGGACTGATCTTCCTTCTCTGCCTGCTGTCCTACGGTAACAGTCTTTCACTAGAGTAGTCTTTCACCAAATATATTCTCACGTGTTACTTGTTAGAAATCTGTAACATACTGTAACTACATTTGGACATTCTTATTTAATGACCTTCAATGACATGCATTTTTGTATGTCAAGGTACATCCTGTGTTAAGGTTTCTCAAAGTGTATTTCTTGTACAACCATAAGTCGCACCTCTCTGTCTTTATGTCACGACACAAACTTTATCGACTTGACTAAACACCTGTATAACGTTCATTAACATTTATTCGTAAATTTTGAAAACCAATATCCCTTAAGTGAATCAAAATAGTAAGCATCTGGAATATAGCCAATGTAATTTCGAGATCGGAAATCGTCATCTACTAAATGTCCATATATGGAAGGGTGATTCCTCGTTCACTTTTCTTAGCATTTTTCTGTCACCTCTAATATACACATTCTCTCTATTTTTTTTCTACATTTATGATCAATCAATCAATCAAAAATGGTTTATTGTTAAAATCACGAACTTTTAATTTGCAGCAGAAGCTGAATTGCGTTCAGAGATGTACATCATTTCTTTTAAAAACATTAACGACTGCACAGTCAACATATTAAACACATTTAGCATAACGAGATTCAAATTTTGCTCACATTTGCATCTTAAATATCAAAATTACATTTACATTCCATATACAAGTTTCACAAAATATATTAGAGACATTTACAAGTTTAAGAGTGACATCATTTCGATTCATTCAACAGTCTTAAGAGGGACGGTAAAGGGCTGTTGTAACATCTTGTTGTACGTGTGGTAGGGAGAGTCCTTTTTGTAGAGTTTCTAAGTTCACGTTGGGTTGACTGTCCCCGGGTTGGAGGTAGCAGGT